CGGAGTTCTGTTATCCAAAGTATCTTCCCTCACTAACGGCTCTGATCTCCTATAACCTTGGCAAACCAGTCATTGAACAAATAGTGACTCAGGCCAAGCCCCCGGTATGTCACCAGGACTCTCCCTCTGGGTGAGAGTAACCGGGATGATTAACTCCTTTTGTGTAACAAACCTGGAAGATAGTAGACATTATGGGAAATATCCTGCTGAAGAACAAATAGCGACATCTGTCACCGTCGCCTTATCTGCTTTTCCAGTAAACCTCTCGGCTCTAAAACAACAAAATATTCACATGCAGCATGGCACTGGTCCACGTTTCTGCAAATCTTCGTCATGTCCGCACAACAGAAAGCTGCGGCTTCTCATATCTGCCCCCGAATTCAATCCGTTGTGTCTCGCATGTCACGCAGCTTCTGGGAAACCCACTGTACCCCCGTGAGAGGGCAAGCGTGAAAGAGGCGAATACCACCTAGGAAAGTCCTTCCCAGATCCCAGCCAGAGGCTCTGGGACCCCTAGGGTTCCGGGCCCACACTTTGAGAACCAGTGCTCTGATGCGTCCAGTCTCATATTTCAGACGAGACAGCTGAGGCTCCCTGCAGGATAGAGTGAGTTTCGGAGCTGTCACACCTTCCTACTTTAGCCCAAGGTTCTGGCCCCGAATAATGTGTATTGGTTGCTTGATTTTTAAACACAAAGCGAACACCCAGGCATTACCTTAGGCTGATCATGAAGCCTCCACTTTTGAAATAAGTAGGTACGAGCTCGATGGCCATGCACAGCCACAAGGAAGTGGCGTGGGCCCGAGCGCATGGCTGTGAATGGTGTGTTTATCGTCCGTCTATCTCTTGGGCGGGTGTGCACAATGCCCCTTTGTGCTTTCTGAAAGGCCTGTGTGTTTGAGGTGCAGCCTTCTGTACCGCGACAGGAGTCAGTACAATTACACTGACTATTCCCTTTGATGAATGGAACAAAGGTGAATGAAGCTGAGTCCCGACTGTAATGAAGGCAGGTCATGAATGAGCTGCTTGGGGCCAGCGATCACACTTGGGAAAGCAGCCCACCTTCTGAACAGGTACCTGTGACACACCTTGATCTCCAGGTTGGCTTAATCACAGCCAACTAGTGTGAACGGGCCAAGTGCCCTGGCTCGGGGACCAGAGGGACATGGCTGCCAGGGGCCATGCACAGCTTTTGGTTTCTATTCCGGGAAATGAGTAGAACGCCCTTGGAGTGAGTGTGGTCCGAACAAACAGTGCCTTCACCGCTCCAGGTGCCCAGCCTTAGTCATCCAGACGGTATCAAGATGTAGAAAGTCCTGACAGTTGGGAGTGAGTCACTTGTCCCCAGTCAAGGCCAATGAGACAAGCAGAAATGAAGTAGGAACATCAATATGGTTTGCTTCATGCCATGGGTCTGTCTGGGACTAGCAAGCAAAGACTTCACACCAGGAAGGCGGTGTCGGGCAGTCTCCAGACCCTGCACCCGCTGTTGGGGCCCATGGGTTGGTGGGGATCTCTAAGCCCTGCCAGGACTACCCTGGTCCACTATTCATATGCCGATCTCTCAGGGTGGCCCTCTTGGTAGAATGTAAACAGGTGCAACCAGTCACATGGGGGGCAGGCTGAGGGGCTGCTGGGGAGGAAAGGGGCGGGGACATCGTACGAGGAGGAAACGGGGTGCTCTTGGGAATAGGAAGGCCAACTCCAGAGAATTTAACGTTTATTCGTTTAACAAACAGCTTTAAGTAAGAACCAACATTTTAAGATTCTTGTTCCTTATTTTTAGACATTTTTGATAGCATAAAATAATTGGGTGGACAAAGCTTTTATGGCCATTACCAACTTGAATTATTAAATATTTACCATGTTTCTTAAGACTCTGGAGTAAGTTGAAGGAGATGTGTAATGTACTATATTCTATAAAAAAATTATCTTCATGTTTTCTCTTTCAAATTTTCAACTCTTTCATTGATTTTGGCCATAAAGCAACGCTATGATAAGCATGGATGGAAAACCCTGGGCCTATAAATACTGTGTCGTGACAAGGCTCGATACTAATGCCAACTTGCGAGTCCTTGCTCTAAAACCTAGAGAAACTATAGAGACAGAAGTTAGAATCTGTACATAGTTTTACACCCTGTTTACTGCTAACATTAAATGGTTTAAAGAACCATAGGCTTATTCCCATGGAAATGACATTTGAATACCCTTCTCTCTCCCAGAATAAGAATTTGACATTCTTCTTAGTGACCCACCTTAGTCACTCATCTAGTCTCACTTACAATGAGTGACATTCACTAACCTAACATACTGATGTTGGGCTCTCTGTATTGGGCCAGTACCGTAGGTGTGGGCAAGATGGGAAGCTTTGCTTTTGTGATTCTGACTAAGTTTTTGTCTGTCTTCCCAGGTCCCATAAGGACTTGGACCCCTTACTCAATCTGTCATATTCATCTGACCAGCCTAGCTCTACCTGAGTCAGACACACTGTTTTCCCAGGGGTGTGATGGAGTGAAGGAGAAAATGCAGGCTCCTCGGGGATGCATGTAGTCCTAGTTCTCCTTTACCTCAATCCGCTCAGCAGGTATAGGTGCTCAATAAACAGGAACAGATGCAGAAGAAAGAAGAAAATGTATTACGATGCCATTAAACCACACCTTTTACGAGGAAATCCTCATCTTGATAGAGAACACTGTTCTTTTTAGTGGTTGCTTTGCAGTGGTCTCAGACTTATCAGTGGGCACAGTAATTGCAGGAGAAACTTAAGAAAAGATGCGGACACAGAAGCTGGCACCCCCAGGAGAAGAGGGTAGTCATGCCTGGACCTCCATCGCCCAGCCTCAGGCCGAGGGTGACCACTAAACTCACAGCTGTTGATATACTTTTTAAAAATATATTTTTATTGATTTCAAAGAGGAAGGGAGAGGAAGAGAGATCTAGAAACATCAATGATGAGAATCACTGATGGGGATCGAGCCCGAAACCCGGGCATGTGCCCTGACTGGGAATAGAACCGTGACCTCCTGGTTCATAGGTCAGTGCTCAACCACTGAGCCCCACCCACACAGCTGTTGATACTGTCGACCTAAACTCCTAGGCCCAAGATGGAACTGCTCCTGGCCGGGGTGCCACGTCAGCGAATCGGAACAGATGACTTCCGTGTCCCTGTGAATGCTGTGCTAGACCAGACACACAGGCTCCCGGCGGCCAATCCCCAAACTCAAGCCGACTCCTGGCTCTGTGCTTACATCCTGTTTTTCCTTCCTAATCCCACCAAAGCTTCCTGCCTCCCGCCCATTCTGCAGTTCTCTGAGTACAGACTGTCTGCTTCGTGATGTGTTCGTTGAAGTTTGTCTCATCTAAATTGCCTTCTTTAATAATTTTTAACAGTAGCTTTGGGGCCTATTGAAAGGTAAACTGAGCCGAAACCGGTTTGGCTCAGTGGATAGAGCGTCGGCCTGCGGACTGAAGGGTCCCGGGTTCGATTCCGGTCAAGGGCATGTACCTGGGTTTCGGGCACATCCCCAGTGTCAGAGAGAAAGGGCGGAAGGAAGTTCGTGATTGGCTGTGACCTAGGGCTCGCTGGCTGTTTGTCATCGGTTGCCCTGGCATTCTGACGTCCTAACCTTGAGGCTTTACAGGCTTGGGTGTTGGTTTGCTGACCTAGGCCGCCATGGCAGGGGGATCACCTCCGTCCAATGGCCTCCTTGTTTAATTAGTTTCACAGGGCTGAGCTGCCCAAGTTGGCATTGGAAACCTACAAAAACTGAATTCTAGGATCCCGACCTTAAGAGAAATAGTTGGCCAAATAGAAGCCACATTTGAACAAAAATGCAGTAAGAGGGCACATTTTTATTTTTTATTTTTTGACAACTAGATATTTTAGTTTGTGTTTTACAAGTATGTGAGTCAATTCAGTGTCAACCCAGTGGAAGGAAATACTCGCACTAGGCCAAGTGTGCGTTCTGTTTTGGATGGGATTCTGAAGGCAGCCAGGCCACGTGGGCTTGGTCCTGGCATGGGTCAGGTCTGGGCTCTGCCATTCACTAGCTGTGTGACCTTGGGCTAGGTGCTGACCCTCTCTGGGCCTCAGCTGTAACATGGGAATCATAGCATACACGGCAATGATGCTGTGAGGGTCAGTAGCCACCTTGATGCTCAACGGATCTATCTATCTATCTATCTATCTATCTATCTATCTATCTATCAATCATCTATCTATCTCCCTCTGTACACCAGGCCACATACACAATGTGTTGGCACAGTCTGTGTTAGAAACAGAAGCTCTGTGATTGGCTATACCATATCCGAAAATAATGGAATTTGACGCTTTTGGATAAAATAAGATCGTTTCCTTCTCTAATTTGGGAACCTGGTAGAACGTGAGAGTTTGAGAACCTAGTACTATGTAGTGAACATCGGAGAGTGAGCAGAAATGGAAGGGATTAGCTTTCTTCTTTTTGCCGCTCTGCTGTGTAATAGAACGGACATGACCTTTCAAAGCTCAGGCTAGCCCCTCGGATGATGGCCGGAATCAACCTCGGGGAGCAGCTGCTGAGCACACAGCCTGTTTCTCACTCTATAACAGGGAACTCGTGTTCTGAGCCTCCTGTCAGGGCTGCGGGGAGGATCGGAGGCAAGGTTTGCTCAGAGTCAGGCGGGAGCAAACACTTTCAGCGAACCTGCCCCTTGCTCCTCCGAAGGCCTCTTTAGTTCTGTAAGTACAAGCAGCCCTCCTTCTATTGCGCTTTGCTTTACTGCGCTTCACAGATACTGCGATTTCTTACAAATTCAAGATGAGACCCTCTGCCACTCGCTAGCTGAGGGCTCAGATGATGGTTAGCATTTTTTAGGAATAAAGTATTTCTTTTAACTTAGGTATGTACATTGTGCTTTTAGATATAATGTCATTGCATTTAATAAACTACAGTACAGTGTGAACATAGCACTTATGTGCACTGGGGAACCAAAATATTCACTGGCTACTGGCTTTATCACAGGATTCGCTTTATTGCTGTGGTCTGGAGCCAAACCCGCAATATCTCGGAGGCGCGCCTGAGACACTAAGCAGAACCTGATGCCTGGTGAACAAAGACTTGAGAAGTACCCGCCCACCTTCCAGTTAAGAAACAACTGGGAATGAAGGTTGAAATCACCCTGGCAATCATAGAAGAGGCTCTGCCTCCTCCCGGGGTCACCGTGGACACGTGATCGGAACTATTTCCAACCCCTCATTGGACTCTCGTGAAGACGAAAGGGTCATTCCTCCAAAAGTCAAGCATGAAGGTACCATAGTAACCGGCAACTCCACTCCTAGGCGAAACCCGAGAGAAATGAAAATGCATGTCCACACGGAGACTGTCCCTGAGCGCTCACAGCCGATCATTCATCACAGTCAGAAGGTGGGAGCAACCCAAATGCCGGTCAGCAGACGAATGGATAAGCACATTGAGACGTATCCACACCACGGACCCTCACGGGGCCATGGGAGGGAATGAAGTGCCACCACCTGGTGTATGATTCCATTTGTAGGAAATGCCCAGGATAGTCAAGCCTCTAGATTCAGAAGGGTGACTAGTGGTTGCTTTGGGCTGGGGCGGGGGAGGGGTCTGGAGGGGGAACTGGGTGATAGCAAATGGGAACAGGGTTTCTTTTGAGGTGATGAGAATATTCATAAAAAAAAGAAGCCAGATACACAAGGTCACACATTGTACGATTGCATTCATATGAAATGTCTACAGGAGGCAACTCCGTAGAGGCAGAAAGCAGATGAGTGGCTCCTAGGGATGAGGGGAGTTATTGTTTGATGGGGACGGGGAATTTTCCAGGGGTGAGAACAAGACTGGAAACTGGACGCAGGTGTGGCCGCACAACGCTGTGAACGTGCTAAGTGCCACCGAATTGTACGCTTTGAAATGGCTAATTGTAGGTTATGTGGGTTTCACCTCAATTACAAAAACGATGAAAGCAACCACAGCACACGATAAGTGCGCAGTGACTAAGTGGCCAACAACCACGGAGGCCTCTGTCCGCCGCACCGGCATCCTTCCTGCCCCGTTACTCACAGGCCTTTGTGAGGCCTGTTTGAGGCCCTCCCACTTCCAGAGGCACCACGCATGTTGCATCACATACGTTAAAAGGCACCACATCACATCTTAAATATTTTTTGAATGTAGACTAGATTTTTTAAAAAAATGACATTGTTTTCAAAATTAGTTGGCTACGAGGTGCTAATTTAACCTATTGTGCTACTCGAGGATTCTGAATTCCGGGGAATTGAGAAAATCAAGCTCGAAAATTGCTTTCAAAGTAGTGGGATTTGCACATATTCAGACTCCAACCATCAATGAATGGAGACAGCGTGATAGTTTGTGCACATTTCACGAAACATCGTCCTTTTCCTTCCCCATCTGGGCTTTCAAACATTTGCACACCCCACCCACAACATTCTAAGCTGAAAGCGTAGCCCTGGATGCCTAACAGACAAACCAACCCCCCCCCGCCCCCCCCCGCCCCCAGCAAGTGCCCTTTGGGTTCCTGTTCCATTATTTGCAAATAACCTTGACAGAAGACTGAGTCCAAGCAGCGCTTTCGGTGTGTGAGGCCACGTTGAGCTATTACTCCGGTACGGAGGGTTTGGAGGGTGTTTCAATGTGGGAGGAAGCTCGACGAGGAGTGGGGGGGGGGTCATGGTGTAACAGGGCAGGGTAAGTGCCCACCGAGAGGTGAGGGCTTTCAGGCAGATTCTCCGAAGAGTCAGAAAGTCGTGGAGAAGGAACCACCCTTGATACTATCTATTGAGTAGTGGGATCCTTGGCTGTTTATCTCACTGGCTTCTTCTGAGAAGATCCAGTGATTAGCAACAAAGTTAGTAACTTCTATTTTCCCGGACAAGGGCTTCTGGGAATAGCAAAGCCATCGAGGGGCAGGGGGACGGCACCGCCAGCAGTGGAAGGCGGCCTGAGAGTGAAGCCACGGCAACGTAGACAGGAAACTGTGGGTGTAGACAGTTTCTGCTCCTGAAGGTAATCCGAGGCCACGTCACAGAGGATTTAAATATTTGCAGGAATTAGGGTTTTATTTGGAGGAAGATGACACGGCCAGAGCTTGTCGCGGAGCACGAACGTGGCAGCGGACCAAGGACCAAGAGGCCGATGAGGCGGATGCTGAAATAGTTCAGGCGAGAGGGATGGAGACTTCGGCTACAGAGATTGTAGCATTTACTACCCACGAGCTCATTCACCCCGAAAACACTGAGCTGGGTTTCGTCTGAGTGGCAGGCACTGTTCTCCACGCCGGGCGCTTGGGGACCAGGGCGGGCCAGGACCTGTTGGTGTGATGCGTACCCGAAGCTCACGCCGTGCACACGTGTGGGATGAGTGACGTCATGCCTCTGCTCAAAGGCCTTCTGAGTCCCAGACTCGGACGGTTTCAGGCGAAAGTCTCAGCAGCCTCCAAGGTGCAGTCCTCGGTGTTAGTGTCCTGCGGCTGCCCTAACGAACGACCACACACTTAGTGGCTGGAAAGAACACAGGCTTATTCTCCGACAGTTCTGGAGGTCGGAAGTCCTCACGTCAAGGTGAGCAGGGCTGCATTCCTGGTGGCGTCTCTAGTGGAGAATCTGTTTCTTGGCCTCTTCCAAGTTGGGCCACCTGCATACCTCGGATAATGGCCCCTCCTCTGTCTTCAAGGCATAGCGTCATGCATAGCATTTGAAACCTCTCTCTCTCTGACCTCAACTTCCATCACAACAGCGCTTTCTTTGAGTCAGAAGATTCTTGTGGTTGTATTTAGGGCCCACCTGGATAATCCAGAATAATCTCCCCCTCTCAGGTCTTTACCTTAATCACACCTGCAAAGTGCCTGTTGCTGTGTGAGGTGACATTCGCAGGCTTGGGGGTTCAGACTTGGACCCCCACGGAGGGCTAGTCATCCACCCACCACACTCTCCATGACTGGGTCTCACTCTTCTTCTTCGTGACCCCTCTTCCTCTCTGTTCCCCAGTGGAGGTTTCCACCCCACACCAAACTGGTTTTCTCATCATCCTGCCCCACACTCATACTGGCTTCCAGAATTCTCTCCTAATATCCTAACCCTTCTCTTGACTCTTCCAAATTCTCACCATCTGTGAAGGCCTCTCAGACTCCTCTGGGAGGCCCCCTGGGAGACTGCAGGGGAGACTGCAGGCCACCTCTTCCTGTGCCACCGACCCTTCTCACACAGCTCCTGTGAGCTTGTTTATGTTTCTACCTTCTCCTGTTGAGGGCAGAGACTGAGCCTCGGCCATTGCTGGTTGAATCAAATGCATTTAACAGCAATGCATTATTTTAGCTAAAGAGCAAAGATCAATGGTAAATTCATACAATGTCAGTAACCAAGTAAATGTACCAAATAAATAAAACCACACAGTGTGGGAACTAAGAGCAACATGGAAGGAATGAATGGGGACCAGGTGTGGCCTGCCAGTGGGTTTGGACGGGAACTCAGAAAGAACCCCCCAGCCCCCGAGTTTTGAGGTCCTGAATTACAAGGGTGCGCTGTGGAAGCTCACGGGTATTTTCCAGGCTGCCTTTAGGAGCAGGGCACAGACCTCCCCTCCAGCAGACAGCCGTGCCTCGATTCAGGGAATGAACACAACAGCCCTTTCAGCTCCCTTTTGCTCTCGGAGTCGAAAGGGAATTGGGTCTGGGGTGAGCATCCCTGCATCTCTCATCCTGCTTCTCTTTCTCTTCCCCAGTGCCACCCTTTGGACTGATTTTGAATGAACTATACACCTGCTCAGGAAAGTGCCCCCAAACAGGTTACTCGAAAGCACCCTGCTCGGTGGTATCTATCTATACTTCCCAGAAGCTAGATGCATCGTCAGGATACTAAATGCGAATAAACAATCTCCAAACCTCAGTGCCTTGTAATAAAGATCTGCTTTTCCCCCCTCCACAGGCTGATGCAGCCGGGCAGCCCCCTTGGGCTCTCCCCCAAGTGGTAACTCAGGGACCCCGTCGGCTCGCACCTTTGAAGCCACCGTCTTTACGTAGGACCCTTGGGGTCCTGATGGAAGAGGCACAGGAGCACCAAGGATCCTGCAAGGAGCTTTATGGACGAGCCCACGAGGCGCTCCCACCCCTTCTGCCCACTTTCCCTCAGCCTGGACCCAGTGAAATGGCAGCCTAACTGCAAGGGAGGCTGGGAAATACCCCCTCCCATGTGCCCAGGCAGCGAGCACGAAGCCGGGATGTCTTACCTTGCCCAGCACTGCTACAGCGTGTCTAGACAGACCAACCATTGCCTGTGGCTTCACCCAACTGTTTTGGTTAATACGGCATTTCATCCAATACTCACAGATGCCTGGCAGCATGGCGACAAAGCCTTCAGGTCAGCTGACTGATGATGGCATCATATCAACGCGGTCACTGACTGCTTCTGTGGCCCCAGCCAACGTGCCCGGCCGGTGCGCACAGTCCAGTGGTAATTTCCTAGGAATAAAAAGGCTCCGTTTCAGGACGAGGATAACATGCATCCTAAAGTGATTTGTGACTGGGGATTTGTTTTGACTTTCTTTTCTGATAGTTTAAGAAAGAACCAGGCAGGCCCGGCGGGCGTGGCTCAGTGGTTGAGTGTCGACCTATGAACCAGGAGGTCACGGTTCCATTCCTGGTCAGGGCACATGTCTGGGTTGCGGGCTTGATCCCCAGTGTGGGGCGTGCAGGAGGCAGCCCATCAATGATTCTCTCTGGTTTTCTCATCATCAGTGAAGGCCAAGGGTTTTGAGGCGATAAAATACAATAGTAAGTGTATAATCGCCCGTCTACCCTATAGCGCAACCCTAAGGCCCACAGGCAGGGACTCTCTGAGGTCACTCCCCATTGGCTGGTGTGGAAAGAGGCCTGTGACGTGCATTCTCTCTCCCTTCTTCTCTGGAATCAATAAAAATATATTTTTTAAAAAAGAGAGAGAGAAAGAATGAGGCAGACGGTCATTTATAAACAGAGCACAGCCACCTCGCTGACCTCTTACAAGCCTGGACACACCTTGTGGCCCTGATGGCCAAGGGCACCAGGCTCCTCTCTGTGGATCCGGCCACACCCTGGGTGGGTGGGGAGGGAGTCGCCAAAGGTGACCCCCAGGCCAGCTCTCCAGCCTGTTTCACCTCCAGCACCGGCACCCACAGCTCAGTCTGCCCCTCCAGGGGCTCTAGCCTCCTACTGGGGAGAGCTTGGTCTGGGGACAGGGGCTTCACCGCGCCTCCTGGTAGGAAGGGGTGGCCGGCGCTGGCAGAGTCTAGTAGAGTTTTTACCATTTCAAGGGGAGTATGGTCAGTGATGCACTTGTGCCCTCTCTATATCCCTCTGAGGTTGAAAATATTTACTCTTGTATTCAGCGAGGGAATGTCTGTGAACTGCCTGCTGGTGTCTCACATGCGAAAGAATGTCCATCGCTCTGCTTATAAAAGGCCTTCTGCCTGGTTGGCGTCTTGTTGGTCATCTCACTGAGATGCCCGCCCCCCCCCCCCCCCCCCCAAAGGACATTTGGTTAACATCTTTCTGGGCTTGGGGCCTTTGCCCTGAAAGAGAATGTGGGGCACGCCTGGTCCTCGCTGAGGACCGCAGTCCCACGGCCCCTCTCATTCCAGAAC